ACACAGACACACCCATTGGTATTACAGTGCGTCCTCGGGGCATCAAGTTGTATGTGTGGCAGAAGACAAGTGCCAACATGCTGCAAGCCCTGCATGTGGCTCAGAGGAGTGAAGTCATGTCCTCCAGCGCCCAGCAGGCATTCCTGTGGCTTCTGAGGCACGACTGCCTCTATTAGCCAACGCATTCTTCAGCATTGTCTCTTTTCACCTTAACACTGAGAGGTGTTGACTCAGTTGACTTTTAGCCCAGTGGTGTATTGAGTGGGCTGAGGGGTTGGTTAGGTGTGCTTTTCACTGCTTGCGCACCCGATAGAGGGAAAAGTAATATTTGCTTTGTTTAACATTGGCAGCTCAGCCAACAAGCTTTTGCTGTAGCTAGACTAAACATTTATTTGATTTTAATTTAAACTAATACATATGAATATTATTGTTTTTAAGTATTATGTATAAATATTATAATAACTTTAATATCAAGCAACATTTATCTATTTTTGTTATTAATGATTATTAATTAAATGTTTATTAATTAATATGATTAATCAATATAATTCATGTTATATTAATAATTATATAGCAAATACAAATATTTAATTTGCTGTAGCTAGACAATTTATTCATTGTATTTTATAAATTAGTTATTTATAAATATATAATATTTTGTATAAATATTAATAACTTCAGTGTCTAATATATCATTTTTATATGTCATTAATGCTTATTTATTGAATATGTATTAATGTATGGTTAATTCATATAATATAATAACTAAATTAATTACATAGCAAATAAAATGACTAATAAATAAATAGTGCATTATTTTTTATTGTATTTTTTATTTATTTTCATTTTTTTACATAGTCAGGATTAAACATTCATTTGCCGTTCATTCATGCACTATATTTTTATGTATATGTTATATATGTTAATTTATTTATATTTTTTATGATTTCTTTATTTGTTATTAATTATTAATAATTAAATGTTTTAATGTATGATTAATAAATATTATTATATTAATTATATAACAAATAAAAATGACTAATAAATTAATAGTACATGTATTTAGTTTATAAATGTAAATGTTTTGTGTTTAAAGGTACATGTACTGGACCGAATGGGGAGGTCGACCCAGGATAGCTCGAGCTCACATGGACGGCAGTAACATTGTGACTTTGGTGGACAAAGTGGGCCGAGCCAATGGACTCACAATAGACTTCATTGATCAGCGGCTCTACTGGACAGACCTGGACACCTGCATGATTGAGTCAACAAACATGCAAGGTGACAATTCATAGGTTTTAAAAATCCCACAATCATCAGAAATGCCTCTTAAACCATACAATATTAGACCCTCCAACCAACTTTAATCAACTAAAAGCATTGTTTATCATCCTTAGGTTTGCAGAGAGAGATAGTGGCCGACGATCTTCCTCATCCTTTTGGCTTGACCCAGTATCGCGATTACATCTACTGGACTGACTGGAACCTGCGCAGCATCGAGCGGGCAGACAAACGCAGTGGCTTGAACCGAACGGTGGTACAAGGGCACCTGGAGTATGTCATGGACATCCTGGTTTTCCACTCCTCCAGACAAGATGGCGCCAACGAGTGTTCGCAGAACAACGGCCACTGCGCCCACCTCTGTCTAGCATCACCTTCTGGAGCCCAGTGCCGCTGCGCTTCCCACTACACCCTAGAGGCAAACGAACGCAACTGCAGCTGTGAGTTTTGGTGTAGATGGTTTTAGAAGAGAAAGTGTTCAGAGTCGCTACATTTTGTACCATTGTTCCTCCTTTGGCTTCTAATTATTTTATGGCTCAACAGTAAAAAATTAATAAATTATAAATATTATATTTACTATTATTACTACTGTTGTATAAACATATATAGAATGTTTATACTTTATACTACTACTACTAATGATTATTATTATTATTATTTCATAATATTGTTCTTATCGCTGAACCCCAATTAAAATGCACTGTTTGGAGATTTTAGCAGCCATCAGGGGTAAAGTAATCTATAGTCTCCCAGCCATAAAGTTCACTGGGTTTTAACGACATTAAAGTGAGTCATGGGTTTTAAGATGCAGTTGGCAGATTGAAATGGCATTAGAAAACAATGGCTCCCGGCCATTCAAAACTCAGTCATATGCATTTAATTCCTTATAAGCTTAAAAATGACAGAACTTGGATTAAACAAGCACGCCAGGGAGCACGGTGAGAGCAATTGGCCAAGAGTGCAGAGGTCTTGGCAGCGCTAATGTGTTTCTACTTGTGTTTTTACTCCCTCTTGTTTTTCATCCTTTCATAGCCTGGAGGGAAAGGCTGATTGCGTTTAGTTCGTATGATTGCATTTAGCTGACCTTCACCTTTTGATCAGAGGAATGGAGCTGGCAAAAAAAGTCCATTGTTGACCTGTGCTCCTATAACTTTGTTTGGATCCCTTATTCTCGCCTTCCTCTTGTTTTGCTCAACAGCGCCCTCTAGCTTCCTGCTCTTCAGCCAGAAGAGCTCCATCAGTCGAATGGTCCTGGGAGAACAGAGTCCAGACATGATTCTACCCATCCACGTTATGAAGAACTTGCGTGCCATCAGCTTCGACCCTCTGGAACGCCTGGTCTACTGGGTGGATGGCCGACAAAACATCCGCAGTGCCCGAGACGATGGCAGTCAGGTGACTGTTCAGTCAAACAATGTTGATGTTACTTGATCATAACAGTATACTCACTATATCTATTATTAAATATTTATACTATATTTATTGTTATTTAATTGAATATTATTTGAAGAATCTATTTTTATTAGTAGTACTATTACAAAATTAAGAAAATGCAAAAAGTGGATCAGTGGACCAATATTTGCTATTATCAACATAATAATAATAATAATAATTTCTTAGTATTAACTAATAATAATTATTATTATTAATTTATTTGAATAAATAATTTAAATATTTTATATTTAAAACCATTTATTTTCACATTATTTTCATAAAATTATTATGTGATGTGATATGATAAATGAATTATTTGTGGTTAATTTGATTAATTATTCAGCATATGTAATTATATATTAGCTCTAAGATTAGTTATATTAGTTCTAATTTAAATTGGTCTGAATTATCCAGGAGTCCACAGTGATGACCCCAACCAACCTCCACCCAAAGCAGCCTCATGACTTGAGTCTGGACCCCTACAGTCGCACCGTCTACTGGACCTGCGAGACCACCAACACCATCAACATCCATCGCATGAACGGCCATGTGATCGGGGAGGTCCTGAAGGATGACGTGGACAAGCCTCGCGCTATCGTGGTGAATGCTGAGAAAGGGTACGATCATTAATTAGCTAAATAAAATATAGGGCATGTCATTATCATTACAACCTGCATTAAATTTAACTGTTCATCCATAACCTCAGGGCCAGATTTTATTATTCAACTTTGGTTTGGCTCCTTTCCATAAATGTAACAGCACCTTATCAAATGTTTATTGATTTATGGCCGGCTGACTTGAAATTACGGCACTGAATTGGATACTCTAATGATGGGGCACTTTGCCATTTCTTTCATACTGTAGGAAAACTCTTGATTCCATCCAGGCCTCTCCAATAGCCAGATATGTAGAACAGATGGCCCTCTGTGGTCCCCGTGCTGCGGCTCTCACTAGCGAGTCGACCATTCGCAGGCGTTGGCTGCATGCACTGTAATTGTGTGTCCCTTTGTTAGTGTGACCGTCATCAGTGAGTTTTCTATTTACGTCTCACCCTCACAGCCTCGAATGAGTTGGGTGGAGGGGACTTCTCCCGTGAGAGTGGCAGGACAGACAAATTATGGCACAAAAACCATAACCATTTTATACAATTTCTAATTATTTAAAGTTTTAGGCTTTCATTTAATATTTTATTTTAACATTTTCAATTAACAAAAATTATCCACTTGATGCTGGATTAAAGAAATTTTTGTGTGATTTAGTTTCTAATTCACATGATAACCTCTTCGTTCGGTGTGCCTGATTTGTTCTGGTCAATATCTTGAATTGATCCTCTCTAAAAGTTTGTTTGTTTACTTCACGCATAAGTAGTCATTAGATTTGGATCCAAAATGCCGTCAAATCCGCCAACCTCAAAATCTCGTGAAATTGACGAAGCATTGCTTTATTTCGATTTTCAGATCGTTGAGGATCAAAACATCTTGAAAGATGTTCACATAAGGATTTGTTTAACGTTGCAGGTGGGAAATTTAATACACAATATGCTACATTCCCCACGCTTAAGTCAGACATTGGCAGACGTTGAACGAGTACATAACACTCCATAGTACTCTGACTCAGAGAAGGCATCTTCAGATCCATCAGCCAAACCAATATTGAGGTTTATTCATTTCTTCTGTTCCCATCTTAACATTGGAAATACATCACATATAATGTAAATACTCCAAACTTTTCCCAAAGGAAGTAACTGTTTTTTTAAAAGTGGTTTGCTTTGTTGCTGTGATAGTTTCAGTTTTGATTGTCTCATTTTTAAAGACAATCAAGCACTGTACTCTACGATATCAATATCGGCATTCTGTTTTTTTCATCCAAACAAAATTGCTAACAGATGCACGTTGTGGGTTTCCCAGACAGTGTCTGAAAACAAAAGGAGCAAACACACCTTTGATTAGTTATCACAAACTAGTCTAGACATAACATTAGGACTAAAGGGCTTTTGGGATGTGTGAAGATATACACCAATTCTCCCACACAGTCAAAACAACATGCCCCCATCAAAGTTGTTCCCTCTGTTCAACAAATGAGTGTTTATACATTCCTACAGATCATGTGTTTGTTATGCAATGCAATAACATAAATTACTACAAACACTTTCATTAAATGTTGAAAGATCTTGAAAGATGTTTGTATAATCCAATTAAAGTCACTTTGCCCCACATTTTTGTCACATTTTTACTACATTTTTTTTTATTAGGAAAATGGTATGTAACTTCCAAACCTTTTTTCCCCCACAGCTACATGTATTTCACTACTGTCCAGGATCGTTCGGCTAAAATCGAAGGTGCGTCTTTGGATGGGACGGAGCGTGAATCCCTTTTCACAACCGGTTTGATCCGCCCTGTGGCACTGGCTTTGGACAACAAGTTGGGCAAACTGTTCTGGGTGGACGCGGACCTGAAACGGATTGAGAGCAGTGATCTGTCTGGTAAATACTACTATATTTTTGCTTGCATATCTAATGGTGTATATATGGTAGTTAAATGTGAACCTGAATTGAGAACGTCATCTAATACATTGAATATATAGAATTTATTTTAAAAGGTATGATTACTTATTTTTTAAAATACACTGGGGGATTCAAAAGTCCACAGATGAAAATGCTTCTATTCCTAAATGTACAAATAGGGGAAATGAACATGCAAAATTACTGTAAATATCCATAAAATATCCATATATATCCATAACTAATATCATTAATTTCGTAACTGAAATATTAGATCAAACTTAAAAATAATTAAACATTAGAAATGTTGCTTTTGCTACTAACGGAAATAAGGTTGAAGTACAAAAATTACTAAAACTGAAATATTTTAAAATATAAAGAAAAATAATAAAACTGTCAAAAGCACATAAAACATTTTTTGACAATTAAAATGTTAAAATAAAAGCTAATTCAAAATATTAATGAATATTATAATGGTGTATGAATAATGGTAAAATAACAATATATTGTGCATTCCTAATTATCAGCATAACAATTTGTGAACTTGTGAGTTTTAAAAATAAAATGAGTTATTTTTACACAAAAGTAATGTAAAATAGATCTGTACAATTATAATAACGAACATTGTGTTGCTTTTAATGTTGTACCAAAATGTCATGATTTAAGACTTGAAAAACAAAATGTTCCCATACAACTCAAATGATAATCATTTATTTTGAAGATGAATTTTGTTGTCAGAAAGATTAGGTCTTTTCACTCGTCACGTAGCCATACATGTCACTGAATCTCATGTTCAGAATGTTTTTGTTTCTTGTCTTGTATTGTATCGCCCGTGGGCAAATTGATTGCAATCAGTTCTGCAGTATTCTGGAACACCATGTGAAACAAGGACAAGTTTCTGACCTCTCCAATGAGATTTGATCTTCTAAACATGTCAAATGACAGAGCTATGGAAACCAAACAAATACAAACAGAGAGCGCAGGCCAGGCACTGTCTATACTTATGCTGCATATTATCAATACCATCTAGTCTAAACTAATCAAAACAGTATAGTCTGTGTTGTCTAAACATGGTATATACATTGACAAAGCTCTAATGAAGAATTTGATGGACTATAACTTAGTTCATTCTTCTGAGGTTATTTAAGTGCCTTCGTCACTGAAAATCACTCTATCACTTTGTTATTGCCAATGAGCTGCCAGAAAGCAAAGTCTCTCCAGATGCTGAGCTCTGATGTTTGATGTTAGCATAAGACAAATGGTCACACCTTAAGCCACGGCTAATATGCTTGCGTAACAGAACTTTCCATTTTGCAGCCAAATGACCAACACAAAGGCTGAAAAGATATGGTTTAGAACGTGACACAGTAGAAAATCCTGAATTATGACTCTGTGGATCTCTTTGTTTGCTTCCCAGGGGCCAATCGTATCGTTCTCCAGGACTCCAACATCCTTCAGCCTGTCGGTCTGACTGTGTTGGGCGATCACCTGTACTGGATCGATAAACAGCAGCAGATGATCGAATGCGTGGACAAGCTGACCGGAGAGAAGAGGACCCGCATTCAGGGGCGACTCCAATACTTGACCGGCATCCACGCGGTGGAGTACGTGGAACCAGAGGAGTTTGGTAAATTCACAGATGTTTGTTATATTTTTAAAATGATAACACATTAGCTTTGTTCCGAAAACCTTGTACGCTACCTGTCTAGTCTAGTCTAGTCTAATCTATTTATTTATTTATCTCATTTATTATATTATTTACTTTATGGATGACAGAACGGAAAGGTCTTCTGTCACTTACTATACTTCTAAAATATAATGATCTACTATAGTACAATAATATAAATATATGATTAATACATTATATTCATTAAATTATATTTGAATGACATTTCAATTAAATGATTGTAACTTAAATTAGAATGTATTATATTATTTATCTTATGGATTCATTTTTAGTTATAATATTAAATTTAATCCTAAATTATATTCAGTCATGTATTTAAGATTAATTTAAGTAATTTAACAGTATGTATAATTTTGTTTGCAAAAAATATGCATATTTTGCTTGCTTGTCTTGAAACCTATAAAAAGAGCCCAGTTTCTTCTTTAGCTACCTTTATGAATTGTCAGACTAATCAACAACATCTAAACGAATTTCCACTGGTAGTTGAGTGTTTTAACCAGTTGAGTTGCAAAAATCATATGTTGTCCAAATTGGTTCACATAAAGACCATGTGGCCTCAGAGTTCCTGTGATTAAAGAGTTGAATTATCCTTTGATCTTTCTAACAGCATCCCATCCTTGTTCCCGTAACAACGGAGATTGCTCCCACATCTGCATCGCTAAGGGCGACGGGACGCCACGCTGCTCGTGTCCCATGCACCTGGTGCTGCTTCAAAATCTGCTCAGCTGTGGAGGTACATTTTAACATATATGCACACATGTATCTGTAGCATGTAACTGAAAATGCACCAATCGGATTTGATGCATCTGTGCTGATCACATATTTACCCATAACCCCCCTCAGAGCCTCCCACCTGCTCTAGTGAGCAGTTCACCTGCGCTACTGGCGAGATTGACTGCATCCCCATGGCGTGGCGCTGTGATGGCATCGCTGAGTGCGCAGACCACAGCGACGAGATGAACTGCCCCATCTGCTCCGAACTCCAGTTCCAGTGCGACAAAGGCCAATGCGTGGACTCCCAGCTGCGCTGCAACGGAGAGCCCGACTGCGCGGACGGCTCTGATGAACAGGATTGCGACAGTATGTCCAACTGTTACGCACTTTGAACCTGCTGATTTACCAGAATTTCCACCTGTGACTGATTCTGTAAAAACACAATCTTGAGGTGCACATTTTGGCCAAATAAAATTGCAATTCATATTTGAACAGGGTTTTAATAAACATTCAAAATCTTGGATTGCTGGTTCTTAGATATTATGGCTAAAAGAGCATGACGAGCCAGACAAGCAGCTCTCTTTTTTTATTTTTTGGAAGTACAAAAATGTGAAACACACTGTGTATAAGAGAGTATGACTGGGTGTCACAAAGTACTAAATAGTCAACACAACATTGTGCTGTCCTCAAAACAAACTTTTTGCAAATAAATCGATAGTTTCTTGTATGAATCAGTAAAAATTATTCTGAAACAGGACTCATCTCTCTGTCTTATTTAATGAATCGATCAGACTCACTGAACTGGCTCAAATGATTCACTTGAGTCATTTAATGAACCCCAGTTTATTATGTCCAAATTGAATTGAGCTGAAAAGCAGTTGTATTGTTGTATATCTCTTGAAAAAATAAATTAGTGACTGGTGTTCATATGACAGTGTATAGTTACAGACACATCCACAACTTGAGTTTTAGACATTTGTTGTACATTTTAAAACTGTCTTCTAAAAAAAAAGCAAATTCTTATATGAAACACTGAATCTAATGTTTTGCATTCATAAATTTATGCTGCTTCATTTTTCACTTCCTTGATTTTTATAAACTAGTTGTGTCAGTCACTGATCTGTCCTCGCACTTTTTTCCCATTAGCTATTTGCATGCCTAATCAGTTCCGGTGTGGCAACAACCAGTGTATTCTGAAGAAACAGCAGTGTGACTCCTTCGCAGACTGTGCCGACAAATCTGACGAGCTTTTCTGTGGTAAGTTTACCATACCAAAAAAAGCACAAGTTGTTTGACCGTGCATCCCATAACTTCAATGTAACATTGCCTCCAAGACATATTTATCCCTGTTTGGCTTATTCACAGATTTCCCTTCGACCCCTAACGACATTCCGCGTCACACCAGCACCATCGGCCCCGTCATCGGCATCATCCTCTCGGTCTTTGTGATGGGAGGCATGTGTTTTGTGTGTCAGAGAGTTGTGTGTCGCCATTACAAGGGACCTAATGGAGGCTTTCCACATGAATACATCAGCGGGACCCCTCACGTGCCCCTCAACTTCATTGCACCCACAAATTCACAGCACGGTAATTTTACAGGTAAAGGTCTGCTGTTTGATAGCTGCTGCAGTCTGTTAAGGTGAATAATGTCTCTGCCTGTGATGAGTCTTTAGTGTGTGACGAGTCTGTCTCGCTGTGTCGCAGGTATTTCCTGTGGGAAGTCCATGATAAGCTCAGTGAGTCTCATGGGCAGCAGTAGCAGTGGGGCACCTCTCTACGACAGGAACCATGTGACGGGAGCATCATCCAGTAGCTCTTCCAGCACCAAAGGAGCCTTTTACCCTCAGGTACTATTCTATTTTATCAGTTTATTGTTATTGTTTATTGTTTACTTCATTGTAGGAAAAAAGGTGTTTGTATTTTAAGTTAAATGCTCATTGATGTATTTTATATTGTCTGGTTTGTTGTGGTTTATGCCTTAACTTTTTTTTTTTTTTTTTTTTTTTTTGTATTTTATTTCAAACTATTAAAAATACAAAAGGAAAAAACACATAATAAATATACAAATAAGTACCAATAAACAAAAACCAAAAACAAATCAACATTTTTTAACATATATTCAACCTGTTCTCGGAAAAAAAAAAGGGTAGGTAGAAGCCCTGGGTAGATTTGTCAGTAGGAAGGTTGACAGCTCATATCTGAAATGGTAGGGTAGATATGCTGATATGCATGTAGCTGAAATATCTGGATAGTTAGGGTAGATATACTGAAAGGTAGGAAGGTAGGTAGATAGGAAGGTAGATAGCTCAAATGTCCAGTATAGTAGGGTAGGTATGTTGATGTGCTTTTAGGTAGATAGCTCAAATATCTGGTATGGTGGAGTAGATATGCTGGTAGGTAGGAAGGGTAGGTAGAGAGATAGCTCAAATAGATGGTATGGCAGGGTAGATATGCTGATAGGTAGGTAGCTTAAATATCTGGAGAGTTTGTGTAGATATGCTGATAGGTAGGAAGGTAGGTAGATAGGAAGGTAGATGGCTTAAATGTAGGTATGTTGATGTGCTTTTAATTAGATAGCTCAAATATCTGGTATGGCAGGGTAGATATGCTGATAGGTAGGTAGATAGGAAGGTAGATAGCTCAAATGTCCGGTATGGTAGGGTAGGTATGCTAATGTGCTTTTATTAGCTCAAATATCTGGTATGGCAGGGTAGATATGCTGATAGGTAGGTAGATAGGTACGAATAAATGTGTGTTTGATCATTGCCATGAGTCCGATCGGGATTTCAGGAGATTTGTCTTCCGCTGCCATCATGTGGAAAAAATGGAACTAAAAAATTATGTTGGTATGGCCCTCCTCACCACTCATATTAATACCTTATTTCGGTATTTAATGTTAGTGTAATGTTTCACACCAAAATAAATATCAGCAACAATAATGATATAATAATAACAAATAGAAATACAAAAAAAATAGGAGAAAAGTAAATTAGATTTAAATAAAACAAATAGGTTTTTATCAATTTAAACATAATTAACACACACACACACACATATATATATATACAGTATATAAGCTTATTTCATTATATGAATGTATTACAAATGTCACTTTTGGGGTCCAAAAATGGGGTCCAAAGTTTAGCTGCAGTTGGGAACTAAATGTACATTCTCCTTTCTCATTGTTCATCTTCAAGGCCCATCTTCAGCCCTTGGCAGAAGTGAACACCTGTTGTGAGGCTTCTGACTGGGCTGAGGGGGGAGGGGAGATGTCGACACCCCTCCATGTACCCATCTGTCTGTCTTTGTTTATGATCCACGCAGTGAGAGCTAAAGAGCTAAAAACACACCTGAGAACAGGCTCACGTCAGGAACATGTCAGGAGGAAAAGCACGCCAGCATCCTGGATCTTCTGATTATATGTTCAAAAAAACAACAAAAAAAGTGTGTGTAGCTACAGTACATGTGTGTGGACCATGTTTGGCCTAAATTGCGGGGACAAAATGTTTCTATAAAAACAATAAAACCTGAAAATTGTGGGGGGGGCAGCTAAATAATGTTACATTTCAAAATGCTGAAAGCTTAGGTTTTCTCATTTTTCTATTTATTATTTTTATTGATCAGCCGTCAGGCACAGCAAATATTTTTAGAGTACGTTTTACAAAAAAAAAAAAAATACTATTTCAGTTGTTCTGCTTAAAAATGTTACATTTAATGTAATGTGTTACTTGCCATTTTTGTAAATGTAAAATTTACTAGCAATTTCTGAGTAAATCCTACACCATTTTTTCAAAACTGAAAGAAATATATTAAATTTAAATATACTAAAACCAAAATAAAAATAAATGTCGGTGTATATATAATCACCATGCTAATTAGTCTGTGATTAATGACCCCAAATATATAATTCCCTTGCATGCAATTCTTTGCGCAAATCTTCATATTTCATTCCTTTGAGTGTTGTTCATCTGAGAGCTGCTTGTTTCACAATGGTGTGCCTGCCAGTACATGCAGCAGATATATAAAGAGAACAAAAAGCTGGATCATAATCGTGATAACTGCCTCTGTCTGATGAAAGAAGACATGAGAAGCATCTTTCGCACGGCCCCAGAAGCCCACAATACATCTTAACATTTAGTTTACACGATTTTCATGATCTTCAGTGCAGAGAGGGGGCAAGGGGCAAGGGCTCAAATGTAAAAAAGTGGCATATACTGTATATATATATATATATATATGTGTGTGTGTGTATACCCCCCTCTCTGCATGTGGAGGGATTTTGCTAGACAATCATATGCACATGTTGGATTTTTTTTTTTTCTTTTTTTCACAGAGCAACACCACTTCAGTAAAATCATGGTTTTTGTCATAGAAACCCACATGGCAGTCTGTAATCAGACACAGTGGAAACGCAATGGAATCATAGGGTTAATTTAACGCATATGAAAGAAAGTAAATCGTGCTGCTTTTACTCTATACAATGAATCCATTGCAGATGTTGTTGTGCTTCTGGAACATGCAGCACAGAATCATGCATGTCTGAAATGCAGCCGTCATCAGCTGTAACAGATCAGTGCCACAGCCTGACGCTGTAGATTTATGCATCACATTTAACATAAGGGCCACATGTCAGATCTTATTTGACATGCTACCCTAAACCCATAATTGCCTGTCTGCATACCGACATAGAGCACAGAGATGAGCCCCGGACCTCTTGACCCATATTTTATCAACGGGCTCAAGAAATTGAAACACTTAAACACATAGAAAAAAAGAAAAAAAAAACTGTAGAAAGATAGAGCAGATTCTCCTATAGGGGATAGTTCACCCAGAAATTAATGAATGTATTTATTTATTTAATTTCATGAACTATCCCTTTTAACATGTGTGTTATATATATACAGTGGGGAAAAAAAGTATTTAGTCAGCCACCAATTGTGCAAGTTCTCCCACTTAAAAAGATGAGAGAGGCCTGTAATTTTCATCATAGGTATACCTCAACTATGAGAGACAAAATGAGAAAAAAAATCCAGAAAATCACATTGTAGGATTTTTAAAGAATTTATTTGCAAATTATGGTCGAAAATAAGTATTTGGTCAATAACAAAATTTCATCTCAATATGTATATAACACACACACGTTAAAAGGTATAGTTTATTAGTTGATAGTTTACGCCTGTTTTATGCAATCAATTTCATGTTGGTTTGACATTTGAAATAATGCCTTTCTTGAGGCAAGCTAGATGCTCCATTCAGTAATATGTGCTTCACGCACTGGTAGCTGATTGGACCACCAGCATGTCAATCACCGTGACGTCTTATTGTTGCTAGGGCGTTGCAAGTAACGAGCCGGTTAAAGCAATTCTGAAAGCGACACTGTGAACAGGCTGCTTTGTGCAACGTTGTAAATAATATAACTATAACCGCGTTGTCTTTATATCTTTGATATGTTGAAATGTAAGAAATCCGTTCAAGGGACAAGCGCTCACAAAGAAGGTAAGACAAAGCATTTTGTGCGTTTTGATATCGCTGTACTTTTAGTTTTGAATTCGGTACTTGATTGACATTTTCCTGATCCAATCAGACGTGCGACTTTAAATCCAGCTCAATTCTATTGGCCTTCACTGCTGTGGGTGTGTCTTAATGATTTCATTCCACTTAAATATTGCCTCTAAAATGTATAATTATAGCATTAATTGAATTGCCACAAAGAGCACACGGTTGTAAAGATCATCTCTGGTTTCGTGGCGTTTCTAAATCGAAGATTTACCCCACACAGTCCGAGATTTACAAACACGACCAGCTTTAGTTGACATTCACTGTAGCCAATCAGCGCGCAGCAGTGGGGTTTGATTGACAGCTCCGCTACCTCAGGTGGGGGTTGGGGCTGTTGAAGTTGAAAACGCAGCCATCTTGAAAAGTGAACTCTGATGGTCTCCCTTTTCGCGCCTGTCACAATCTGTTGTAAACACCTCATTCTTTCATACCTCGCCTCATTTTTTCTTTACTTATTCCGGTGACCGTTTTATCCAAAGCTTCGCCAGTCTTCATGCCGGGCTTTGGCAGTATTCCGCTTTCTTAATCGGTACGTATTTGTGTTGTGTGTGTCTCTGTTAGCTTAGCGTTAGCCAGTTACCACTTCTCTGTTTTGCCGAGCCAGAACAGGGTATATTTCCAACCTTTTCTTACATGAAACTAAATTATTCCAACATTTAGCGGGACTACTACATATTTAAACCAGCACAGACTGTAAGAAGGTGTCAGGTCTGTAAGATTGCGCTGGCGGAAGCTCAGTGTCGGTGAATGCCGGGGCCTGACATACCGAAAAACTTCAGAAAGTCAGACACAAAGGCTGTTTGTCAAATCCTAGTGAGTTGTCCAGACAGACAACGTTTTTGGTCAGTGTAAGTGCATATGAAGGTTGCATTGGAATGTTCGAACGCGCTTGTGGTGCTAGGTAACGTTAGGCAGTTCAATGGGGATTGAGACACAGCCTGAACACAAACACAAAAGCCTTCTGGAAATATTAATTGAGCTTTTAAGATCATGTTTTGGAGCCAGGACTGCTTTTAAGTTTTCATATACAACAGTTGTTAATGTGTTTTATAAGGATCCTCGAAGGTTAGTTTAAAATGATAGAAATGGGGTATAAAATGTGGTGATTTTTTTAATATAATACCTTATTTCAGTGTAGATTTTGAACACAGTTCTCAATCTCTGTAGAGTTGTTTACTGCATGTGCTGATCTCAGATCTGTGTATTTGCCTTTATTATGGCCCATCCACATAAAGATCACTAAAACCTCACAGCTGTTTATTTCTAGACTTAGTGTGATGTGATTACATGTGAAAGCTCATAGTAGACTGTAAGCATGAGCAGATCGCTCACTCTTGTAAACAGTCTAGCAGACATGGCAGCATGCTTTATGGTCCAGTTAGGCAGTTCATCTTTGCAGGCTCGATTCTGAGTGCAACTGGGGGACTTGTGGTGGTGTTGTGGCCTCTGGGATGCTGGAGAGGTTTGGCAACACTTTTTATAGACCCTGAGAGGGTGTCACAAGGATTTTCTTCAGCCCAGAGTTACTCAAGCTGAATGGTACAGGTGTTCAAAGTATCTAGTGTACTTTGTTCTTTGACCCTTTTGCACTAGATAAAGTCTGCTGAAGTGAACCTGGAAAGACTTGGACTGAATGTAAATGTCTGGAAATGCTACGTGAGGTAGGAAGAAACCAGTAAATCACAGATCAGAATCAGAAAGAGCTTTATTGCCAAGTATGTTTGCACATACAAGGAATTTGTTATAGTGTCACAAGCTTCCAGTACACGGAGACAACAACAACACACGGATAATAAAAATAAGATGTGAATAAAATACACATGCATAAATATAAACCACAAAAAAAGAATAAATTGTATGTACAGGTGTGCTAGCGATAGAATAGGAATAAAATAAAGTTGTAGGGATGTACTAGGATTTAGGGTGATAAATAAGTATAAGGTTATTGCACATACTTTAATTGCACAATGGGAGAACATTAACTGTTCATGAGGTAGATTGCCTGGGGAAAGAAACTGTTCTTGTGCCTGGCTGTCCTGGTATTGGGTGCTCTGTAAAGCCGACCAGATGGCAAAAGTTCAAAAAGGAGATGGCTTGGATGTGATGGATCCAGAGTGATTTTCTGAGCCCTTTTCCTCACTCTGGATGTATACAGTTCTTGGAGGGTAGGCAGGGGGGCACCAATAATCCTTTCAGCAGTCCGAACCGTTCTCTGTAGTCTTCTGATGTCTGCTTTGTAGCTGAACCAAACCAGACAGTTATTGAAGTGCACAGAACCGACTCGATGACAGCTGAGTAGAACTAGTAGTTTAGTAGTGGTATATAAGGTGAAATGACTGTCATTCAAAGCAAGTGGCAAGATGTAGGCCTACTTGACAACCAAGTTATGTTGACACTGAACATTGAATTTTACCTTTTGCACCATTCAATTTTCAGTGCAGGTGAAATTTCCTTACTTTAAAGATGAAAAAGTAATGCATGCTTATAGTTATGTTTGAATATTTAAATATTTTTGAAAATCCTTATCCAGTTGCAGAGGTTTATTGGCCAAAATTATGTCATGTTTCTGTAATGTCTTTTATACGTCCGTGTTATGCACAGTCTTAATATAAATAAGTCAAGTGATCTCAACTACAGAATAGAACCTGTGGTGTCTGTGTTGTTTAATGCATGCATATAATTATAGATGTCCTATTTGGCTCACCACTACATGTTAATTTAAACCTCAATGCGCTATGCACGCGTCACTTATTAGTTGACTTGATTACACTGACTAGTGAGTTCAGTATCAGAGGATGTGCTTCAGATAATCATCCATCAATTTGATGGTTTGTATAGTTAGTTTTCCATAATTTTTTTTTCTGGAAGTTACATAGATGTGCACTACTACTGTTCAAAAGATTTGAGTTGGTAAGATTTAATTTTTTTTACCTTTTTTTTTTTTCTCACTAATACTGTGAAAAATATATAGGCCTACACATACTAAAATATATACATATTCATTTTTTAACATTGTTTTCACTGTCAGTTTTGATCAATTTAATGTTAAATCCTGACCTTAGACCACCATATTGACCCCAAAACATTATGCAGTAGTGTACACTATTCCATTTTTTGTTGATATACCCAGTGTCAATATTATCATTAAATAAAAAATGATATCTCTTAGCTAGGGCTGGGCGATATAACTAAAAAATGTATCAACGATATATGTTTTCATATTTCATGTTCGGCATCGATAATTATTGACATTTCTTGTAACATTTTTTAAAACAGAGCAATAGAAAAACATGTTTAAATTTAACCACTGTATTCTTAGTTAGCCCAGTTTATTAAGACAAACAACTAATTTTTTATATATTTTAACAATCAAACAAAAAATAAAATTTAAACATCTCCTTATGTTTTACAGTCGTGGTCAGAATTATTGGCACCCTTGGTAAATATGATCAAAGAAGGCTGTGAAAATAAATCTGCATTGTTAATCATTTTGATCTTTTATTAAAATAAATTCACATAAATCGAACCTTTCATTGGAGAATAAGAATTTAAAATGGGGGGGGGGGGAATATCATTATGACAAATGTTTTTCTCTAATACACATTGGACAAAATTAACGGCACCCTTTTATTCAATGCTTTTTGAATAAATGCTGATCTTTAGGTCTTTCTATTCATCAAAGAATCCTGAAAAAATTTACTCGACTTTTTTAAATATTGATAATCAGCAAATCAGCATATTAAAATGATTGCTGAAGGATCATGTGACACTGAAGACTGGAGTAATGATGCTGAAAATTCAGCTTTGATCACATGAATAAATTACATTTTAAAATGTATTCAAATAGAAAGCAGTTATTTTAAATAGTAAAAATATTTCAAAATGTTACCGCTTTTGGTGCATTTTGGATCAAATAAATGCAGGCTTGGTGAACTGAAGATAATTCTTTAAGAATTATTAAAAATCTTGCAGTTCAAAAACCTTTGACTGGTAGTGTAGGCTGATTATTCTTATAGATTGAAACGTGCATTAACCAGGATAACGAGTTGCTTCAGAAAACAAAAAAAATAGAGCAACAACAAAAGCACGTTGCTGGAAATGGGTTTATTATTGAAAATGCAAACTGCTTGTCTGCCAGCAGGAGGCGCTGTGAGAGCGGTGGAACTAACGGTTTCTCCAGTAATGGCTGTAAACAAAGCAGCTCCGCTCATGAACGCTACTTTATCAGATAAAAATGCCATCTAAACTATTCTGAAGACAGTCGGTTCCCTTCAGAGATACATTCATATAAAACACCCGCGACGTGTTTTGATTTTGAAACGTGCAGTGCTCATGATTATTCAATGAATCAAACGCCACAAATAAATCAATGTATGGGAAACACTGGTAATGTATATCGGAAATGTGTTTAAAAATCATATCACCGTTATTGGAAAAAAATTATATCGCGATACATATTGATATTGAATTATTGTCCAGCCCTATCTGTTGGTATTTGATAGAATAAAAGATGCCATGTATCTAATCAAGATGTCCAGGACCTCCAGCAGAAATATAGGCCCACAACATTAAAAATACAGCAGTATATTT